GAGGGGGAGCTCGGGGCCGCCCCGCTGAGCTCCCTGGGACTGACAGGGGCCGGGTGGGGCCGAGAGAGGCACCCCCGGCTCCCCCCGGCAATAATTCCATCGTCTTTCTGCTAAGGATCCCTGAAGGAAATTGTCTGTCCTTCCGTGTCGGGTGACAAGGCCCAGGCTGAGGATAAAGCTGATGGGGCCGGGGCCGTCAGAGCAGCAGCGCCAGGGCTGAGGCGACAGGCACAGCCCGGGCCCAGCTGATGGCCCCGCTCTGGGTGTGCTCTGTCCGGTGGCCCCGGGGCCGGAGCCCGCAGGAACGGGCTTTCCGGAGCTCTCCAGAGGGCCCGGGCAGTCGGGCTGCGGGCGGGGCTGGGTCTCCATGAGCGCCGTGTCACGGTCACCAGCCTGGCCAGGGCTCCTCCTTCAGCCCAGATACTGCCGTGGCCCTCGAGGGATGTCTGGGCTTCGGCCCTGCAGCCTTCGCTCAGCGAGAGCTGGGAAAGCACAGTTTGAGCAAAGGGATGTGGCCCCTGCAGTGCTGCCGAACCTGGGAGCAAGCCCTGCCTCTGCCTTCTTCCTTCTTCCTCACCCAGACCGGGACTCCAGGGTGGCAGCTGGAAAATGCTGCATTTTCAGAGCTACAGCCCAGCCCGCCTTTTCCATGGGTAGGTTTACAAGAGAGGGGATGTCCCCTCGACCCCGGTGAGCCCCAGCTGACTGCTGGAAGTACCTGGGCAGCTGTTGTGTTCCCTGTGGGACAGCACGTCCCAGGAGAGAGGGGCCAGCGCCCAGGTGCTGGGTTGGCACAGCACAGTTGCACAGGCTCCAAAGGGGCCACTCTGGATTCAGACTCTGAGCAGGGAGAGCACGCTCGGGCCGCAGTCTGACCTTTAACCTTTCAGCTGGGAATGGAGCTGTGCTGGAGCAAGTCTCCCTGGGATAAGAATAGCATCTGCTGTCTTGGGACACAGCACAGTTGTCCAGCTCCTGCACGGCAGCACATGGCACTGAGGCACAGAAGGCAGCCTACCCTCCCAGGAATGTCTCAGGCACTATTAGTGGAAGTGAATCATGCCCACAGACAGGCACGACCCTGAGCAGGAGTCTTAGGAGAGCAGGGCTATTTTGGGCCTTTGTCACTGCAGAGGAAAGGAGACACATGATGTCTTCACGTAGCTGCCTGCTTCATTTTCAGCCACATGTGTGAGAGCTGGAGGGATAGCAGAGGGCATGTAACTGTGTGCAAGTGAAAGGGGCAGGAGGCTGGAGGAAGAAACAGTCTAAAGAAGGCAGTGGTAAGTCAGAACAGACACAGTTATAGCCCTTGATGTGAGAGCTGCTTCTTCAGTGACTTGACTGCCTTTTCACACCGGTGCCCTCTGAGACAGCACTTTTGGACAAGTCATCAAAGAAACTCTCCAGGTGTTCCACTTGCCAGTAGGGCCAGGGCTCGCTCCTCTCTTCCTTCTGCCTGACTTTGCTGGCTGCATTCCTTCGTTCTGGTGACACATCCTCAAGCTTTCTCGGTGCAGGCAATGGGAGGCAAAGGATGGTGCAGGGTCTGTAGAGCAGGGTTTCAGAGAGTCTCAGAAGTTAATGCTTGCACCAGCCATTCCAGCTAACAGGGATACTCACGGATGTTGTGTACCATCTAGACTCTACCCAGCCCCCCCTGAAGCTTTGGAGATGCCTGCAGGTGGGACTGCCACCCAAGAGGAGCAGTCAGCTCACAGGTGGGCTTGGGCAGGCAAAGGCTAAGGCCAAGAGGCCCTGCCTGTGGTGGCAGATCAATGCATGCTGTGAGCCATTGTCAGAGAGGACTAGTCTGGCCAGGTGTTAGGTGGCTTTCTTGAGGTCTTTGTGATTGAAGGCTGAGGTCTGCCCCTAAAGAACCACCTCCCATTGCTCTCTGCTGAGATACAGCACTGACAGCACTGACAGAAGTTCTCCTCACCAATGCTCACAAGGGACAGTAATGGGAGGAAGGAATGGAGGGCTGCACCCGTCTGTTTTCTTCTTTTCTCTTGTCTGAGACAGTGCCACGTGCAGCCTGTTGTGCAGGAGGTGCCAAGGCTGACCTCTGAGGTGATTGTTGAGGAGGTGTGTTGGTGCATGTGCTGTGCGAGAGGTGGGTACTAAGGGAGAGTCCTTCCAGCACAGGGCCCCAGGCAGGGCTCTGCTGTTTGCCCACTCAAGGGGAAACTGGGAGCAGGCGGTGGCAGCAGCTGAGGGAACCCAGGGTAAGGGAGATGGCACAATGTAGAGGCACTGTCAGTATGTTGTAACCGTGCTCGCGGTGACTAAAACTGTCTCTGTCAAGGAACTGCTGGTCCTTGATGGTGCGGTGCACTGTAACCTCTGATTACTTAGGAGTGGGTGTTTAGTGTTGGGGAGTGCCAGCATCAGAAACATGGGCAGGGAAAGGAAAAAGGACAGGGATCACCCTCTCTTGCCTCTCCCATGGGAAGGAACTTGTGCTGAAAGGACAATGGGAGAAGCATTAGGAGCATGTGAAGGCAGGAGCAGGACAAGGAGCTGCTGGGGACAAAAGAGAGCACAGGCTGGACTTTGAGGAGTCTCCACAGGAATGGCCAGCCTCTAAGTTTGCAGGTCCTCAGTCCAATATTTGCATCAGCTCCCCTTTCCTAACCAGGAAAAAGTAAGGAGTCTTGTTCTGCAATGCAGTATCCCAAGTATGGTGAGAAAACCAAACCCAAAGAAGGCACTGGTCATGGTGTGTTTGCAGAGGAATCTACTCTTTATTCACTAGACACTGAGGTGGGTAAATTGCAGAAGGAAGTGACAGAGGGTTCACATTTTGTGCAGCCCGCAGGTCACTTTGTACCTCATGACAATCTCACTCTTCCTCTTCTATCTTCCTATGAAACTCCCGACTCTTGGCTCGGAGCTTGTTGACCTGTGACTCTGCAATGTCAGCCCGTTCCTCGGCTTCCTCCAGCTCGTGCTGGATCTTGCGGAACTTGGAGAGGTTGACATTGGAGAGCTCCTCCTGAGAGAAGGAAGGAGTTGGTGGTGAGGAGCTCAGGGCAGGGGTGTCGCTGCTCCTGTGCCTTGGCCTGGGGGAGGGCACAAACTTCCATCCACCACCCACCACAGCTTATCCGTGAGTCTCAGTGAGATCCTTGAGAACTCCTCAGTGCCCCTCTCACAGATCCCCCTCACTGAGTCCAGAAGCTCTTGTCTGGGATGGACTGTTTGCCACAGTGAAGAAGCCACGCTCAGCCAATCATAAATTCAGGGGCTGCAGGATTCCCTCAGTTCCTCCCTGAGTGCTGCACGCCCAGAAACAGGCAAAGGGTCCTTGCACAATTCTAAGAGCTGAACGCAAAGTGGCTTGGGAGGATACTTCCAACACCTTCTCTGTCTGCTATCAAAAATCTGAAACTAAGTTATTTTCAAAACTTCTTAATATACTGTACTATCCTTACCATTAATAAGACTCCTTCTTACAGGCTGCTTTGTTGTCCTGATGCAGAAAATGCTGTGTACATTTGCCCTCTTATTAGTCTTGTTAGTGACTCATTGATTTCGTTCTCCAAGGCGAGGCTGATTTAGGAGCCTTTTGGAGAACTTGAAGAACTCCATTATTGACCAGTGACACCGTCCAACTTTCTTCTATTGGGCCAAGCTTCCTCAGGGGCCAAGCTACCCTCTGGGAAAGTGTTTCTTGCCAAGCACTCAGAGTGATACTTACAGCCTCCTCAGATTGTCTCTTGTAGGATTTCACCTTCATTTGCAGCTTGTCCACCAGATCCTGCAGCCTGAGAATATTCTTCCGGTCTTCCTCAGACTAAAGCAGTTGGCAAACAGGAAAGAGTGAATCGGTTCCCCCGCTATGGCAGGTAGCAATTCCCCTTGGCAATCAGGTGCAAACACTTTCAGTTTTTGCAGATGCCCACAGGGGCCATTACCTGGTAGGTGAGTTCCTTCACCCTCCTCTCGTACTTGCGCACGCCCTTCACGGCTTCAGCGCTGCGCTTCTGCTCAGCATCAACCTCCCCTTCCAGCTCCCGCACCTGCAATGAGAAGCCCATCCCTGCAGCTTCCCTGGGGGTGTCTCTCCAAGGGACGGGGTCCCTCATGCACCAACACAGCCCTACTCACCCTGGCCTCCAGCTTCTGGATTTGCTTCTTGCCTCCCTTCAGGGCCAACTGCTCGGCCTCATCCAGACGGTGCTGCAGGTCCTTCACCGTCTGGTCCAGGTTCTTCTTCATCCTCTCCAGGTGGGCACTGGTGTCCTGCTCCTTCTTCAGCTCTTCTGCCATCATGGCCGCCTGAGCGGAGCAAAAGGTCAAAGCCCTTGTGGGGCTGGAGACATTTTGGGGAGAATACATCCCCCGTCAGCAATGAAAGGAGCCCCGACTCACATCTGTGATGGCCTTCTTGGCCTTCTCTTCAGCATTACGGGCTTCCTGGATCGTATCCTCCATTTCGCTCTGAATCTGAGAAATGTCTGTCTCCAGCTTCTTCTTGGTGTTGATCAAGCTGGTGTTCTGTTGAGCCACAAATATTTTGTCCAGTTAGTTCCAAAAGAGAACACTTATTTTAGGAATGTATTGTTTCAATGTAACGTTATCTTCTATATATCTAATATTAAGATTCTCCTGATGCATCTTGTGAGGTCATACACAGCAAGATAGCAGAGAGTTCTTAAAATCTGATGAAGCCCTTCTGACTGCTGATGCAATCCTACTCATTTAGCTGTAATCCATTTCTTCATACAAGTTTACTAATTCTGGTTAAGGTGAAGTTTTTTTATCACAGCTATTGATTTAAGAATTTGCACAGCTGAAAATCTGTAAAGGAAAAAAAAGGCTCATGGGTTTTTGAATCTCATGAGTCTAACCTGAGTGTGGAGGAGCTGAACTCTCTCACTTGCATCCATCAGTTCCTGCTCAGCCACTTTCCTCGACCGCTCCGTCTGCTCCAGGGCTGCCCGTAGCTCCTCAACTTCAGCCTGCAGCAGGTTTGCTCTGCGCTCCACCATGGCCACCTGCTCCTTCAGGTCATCCTGGGTCCTGAGAGCATCGTCCAAATGGATCTGGGTGTCCTGTAAGAGAGACAAGAGGAATTACAAGGCATCGGTGTGCGCTTGAGGGCCAAAAATATCAGGGATCTCTCTATCTGCAGCTTTGCTGAACAGACCTTGAGCACAGCCTGTGTGTTTCTCAGGTTCTTTTGTGCCTCAGCAGCCTGGCGGTTGGCATGGCTGAGCTGGATCTCCATTTCATTCAGGTCTCCCTCCATCTTCTTCTTCAATCTCAGGGCTTCATTCCTGCTCCTGATCTCAGCGTCCAGGCTGCTCTGCAAGGACTCCACAATTCTGAGGTGGTTCCTCTTCAGCTGGTCAATCTCCTCATCTTTCTCTGCTATCTTCCTGTCAATCTCAGACTTCACCTGGTTGAGCTCCAGCTGCAGGCGCAGGATCTTCCCCTCTTCATGTTCCAGAGAGGCCTGGACAAGTGGACACAAACATGGGGAACACTGAAAAACCTACTGCTTGCTTTCTAGGGAATTAGAGAATATTCCAGGGAGTCTCAGCTGGCTGCCCTCTGCAGCCAGAACAGAGCAGAAGCAAGGCCTTTTTAGCATTGTTTCTTCCTTGCTCACACATTTAGTGCAGACAGCAATGATTCTGGTCGGGTACCTCAGCTTCCTCCAGAGCAGCCTGTATTTCAGATTTCTCCTGCTCAATTTGCTTCTTGACTTTCTCCAGCTCATGAATTGCCTTTCCTCCCTCTGCAATCTGCTCCGTGAGGTCGGAAATCTCCTCTGTGGGAACAAAGACCAATGGCTTGCTCAGGCCCAGAGCAGAATGGGAAGGGCCCTGTCCCACCAGGGTGACAGGCATCCTTGCAGAGCTGCAGGCACAGACCCCGCAGCAATGCTCAGCTTGTGAGAAAGCCCATCCCGGAGCAGAGGGCCAGGGACTTACGCTGCAAGTTCTTGTTCTCCCGCTTCATTGTTTCCAGGTGGTCCAAGGACTCCTCATAGGCATTCTTCATCTTAAACAGCTCTGTGCTGAGGGAGCGAGACTCCTTCTGGGAGGCCTCCAGCTCAGCCTGCGTTTCCTCATACTTCTGCTTCCATTCTGCCAGGATCTGAAGAGAAACGGGGCGTGAGTGGGGATGTGGCCATCCCGGGGGGAGGCTGTGCCCAGGAGTCCCAGGGCTGGAGCCCAAAAGACCTTGTCAAAGTTCTTCTGCTTTTTGTCCAGAGCAGCACAGGCAGCATTGGATCGCTCCACATCAATCATCAGGTCCTCCACTTCATTCTGCAGCCTCTGCTTTGTCTTTTCCAGGGAGGCACACTTGGCATTGACAGCTTCGACGTGTTCCTCTGCATCCTGCAGGCGCTGTGCCAGCTTCTTCCTGGGAGGAGATGAGCACAGTGGCAGCTTAGAGCTTAGAAGGGAGTCAGTTCTGCACTGCCATGAGAGGGCAGTTGGCCACGTTGGGGGTTTTGAGCTGAGCACTTTTCACAGATCCTAAAGGATCTATCCTTTCTGTGTCCATTCAGCCTGTCTTTGCACTTCTAGCCCTAAAGCCTGTGCTTTCCCTTCCAATATACTCTTTTTTCTCCTCCCTTCCTCTCCCCTTCACCACAAAGACAGTATATGTGGGGTGAAGTCGCAGCCCCACAACTGAAGTTTGAGAAGTTTGAGGTATTGCAAAAGTTAGGCCGTGTTCCATGGGAACAGTGAAACTAATTAGATAGTTTCCATGGACACAGCCTTGAGTTGCAAAGAGTACAAGGTTAAGACTGTTTGGTAATGTGCAGATGCTTGAATTCTTGGGTGTTTTTTGTGAGAATATGTTTATGTTGTGTGTGTGGGAAAGTAGAGGTTAGCGATCTCAATAAAGGCTGCCTGCTGCGCTGAGCAGGCAGACATGTCTCTGTCTCATCACCCTACTGTGTCTCATCACCTTATTGTGTGTTGTGCATCTTTCTTCCCCCACGGACCAAGACCTGATGACAGTTACCCAATGACAAGTATATCCCTGCCTTCATCCCAGCCCTGTCTCAACCCACTCAGAGATTCCCATTTCCCTTGACCGCTCTCAGTCTCTGCAGTCATTTCTCATCCCACTCCCCACGTACTTGGCCTCCTCGAGCTCCTCCGTGCGCTGAATCGCGTCCGTCTCGTATTTGGTTCTCCACTGGGCCACTTCGCTGTTGGCCTTGGACAGGGCGCGCTGCAGCTCCCCCTTGGCTTCCTGCTCCTCCTCATATTGTTCCCGGAGCAAGTCACAGTCGTGGCGAGCGGACTGCAGGGCGTGGGCCAGGGCGTTCTTGGCCTTGGGAGACAATTGGATGGGGACAATTAATTTCCTGTGAGACCGCAGAATGTTAACTTCACGAAGTGAAGTGGTTGAAGAGTCTTTCCATCTGACATTTAAAGTCAACCCATGGGAAAATAGCATATTGATTTCACATATAGAGAACTTTCTTATCACTTCATTCATCAGAATGTAGAAAGTATTCTCAGGAAAGATGATGGATAAATTCTAAATGACACCTATAAATTGTTGAATCCCTTTAAATATACTCTAAATATACTCTAAATTTTCAGCTCAGAAAAGTAGACTAAGACGCACAGTTTATTTTTAGATATATCTCAATCTTTTTTTATATACCGTTATAAATCTGAATAAAGACCTAAAAATGTTTTTCTCTGTCTTAGTATCCAAATTGGAGAGGATGTCTTCCTCAATTTCCCTTCCCACACTAGAGATTAAGGTGGCAAAATTGTCCATCTTGTTTGATAGCTCAAAAATTAAACTGATATGGCTAACATTCTGATTTTATGTGAGAGTAGGACATATCCTGAAAGAAAACAGAACCTCAGTCCAAAGTCAACCCCCTTACTGGAAATACATTTACCTTTATTTCTTCCTCTAAATGTCTCTTTAGTTCCTCAATCTGTTGAGTGAATGCCTGTTTGCCTCTGGATAGCTGAGATATCAAACCATCTTTTTCTTCCACCTGGCGTGAATATTCACCTAAGAAAGTTTACAGGCAGACTGCAATTTAAAATCAATACTAAGTCAATGTATCTTTTAAGCACTATATAACAGATCACAGAGACTAGATCAACTTGAGCAAAGCTTCATTCCTTTTTTTGTTATCATTAGTTACAGGTTGTTCCATTCCAGAGAGATGTGGTGGTGTGTTACCTGCTTCTGTCTGCAGACGAGCTCTTTGAGCATTGAGGTCATTGATCTTGCGCTGATGCTCTTCTTCCTTTGTCTTAATCTCACTCAGCTGGTCTTCCAGGGTGCGGCACATCTTCTCCAGATTTGCCTGTGGAGGTCACAGAGAACGAAAGAAGATTAGGATCTAGATGCCTTCTTATTCTGAAGAGCAGGACTCTAAGCAGAAAAACATGAACAGACTTGCAAGGTCTGGAATGTTCCTTGGTGTTAGAAGGTAAGAAACACAGGTCCATAGAGAGACAGGGAGTTAGATGGTAAGCAGGCCATAATTTGAAAAGACGTATTTCAATGGAATTAATTTTCCAGTGGTTTTCAGTCTATTTTTGCATACCTTGGCTTTGGAGACAGACTCCATGTTACTGGCCAAGTCATCAATCTCCATCTTGAGCTCACTCTTCTCCTTCTCCAGCTTCTGCTTGACGCGCTGCAGGTTGTCGATCTGCTCCCCCAGCTCAGCTGTGCTGTCCGCGTGCTTCTTGCGCAGGGCGGCAGCCGTGGCTTCGTGCTGCAGCGTGGCCTCTTCGAGGTCCCGGCGCATCTTCTGGAATTCTGCCTCCCGCTTCTTGTTCATCTCCACCTGAGCTGCCGTCGCCCCTCCTGCTTCTTCCAGGCGCTCGCTGATCTCCTCCAGCTCCCTGGACAGGTCAGCCCGATGCTTCTCTGCTTTAGCGCGAGAGGTTCGCTCGGCCTCGATTTCCTCCTCCAGTTCCTCAATACGGGCCTGGAGAACACGAGGGACCCTTCACACCCGTGCCCTCCTCCTCCCTGAGCCGAGCCTGGGGCAGGCAGGGGGAGGAGCAGATACTTGCCTGCAGCTCCTTGATCTTCTTCTGTAGTTGCATGCCCAGGGCTTGTTCATCCTCGGTTTTGCTCTGGATCTGGCTGATTTCAAAGTCTTTCCTTTGGGCAAAGCAAAGTGGGTTACAGCTCAAAGGAAAAAGACAAGAGCTGCAGCCCAGCACGGAGGTGCCCCAGGGCCACACTTACTTCTTCAGTTTCTCATCCAGCTGCTGCTTATCATTCTCCAGATCCATGATGCTGTCCTGGGCCAGCTTCAGGTCTCCTTCCAGTTTCCTCTTGGCTCTCTCCAGGTCCATGCGCAGTTTCTTCTCTTGCTCCAGGGACCCTTCCAGCTACACAGAACAAGGCCATCAGTGCTCCACCAGCCAGCTCAAACTCCATACCTGTCTGTTCCTGCTCTGTGTCCGTGTGCTTACATCGTCCACTTGCTGCTCCAGCTTGGTCTTGGCTTTGGTCAGTGTATTGACTTTGTCCTCCTCTGCCTGCAGGTCATCCAGGGTCTGCTGATGGGCCTCTTGGAGGGCTTTCTTCTCTTTTGTCAGCTTGACAATGGTCTCGTCCAGGGCTGCCATCTCCTCTGTGAGGTTTTTCACCTTTAGGAAGAAGGGAGCAAGTGTAAATCAAGGAAGTAGATCCAGAAGTCCTGGAAGAGCACGGGGCTCTTTTCTGGAGTGTGGGTGAGATTTTCTGCCTCATACCTTGTTTTCAGTGGCGTGTTTTTCCTTCTCCACCTTGGCCAGTGTTAGCTCAAGGTCATCAATATCTTTCTTCAGCTCTGAACATTCATCCTCCAGCTTTCTTTTCTTGGCTGTCAGCTCAGCATTGATTTCCTCCTCATCCTCAGCCCTTTCAGTCACTTCTTTAACTTTGGCTTCCAGCTGGATTTTGGTTTTGATGAGCTGGTCACACCTTTCCTCAGCATCAGCCAGGCTATCTGCTTCCTGTGGGAGAGACACAGATTTTCTTGATTTGTTTTCTGAACTTTTCTATGTAAGTAAGTGTGTATGTTGAAGCAACTTTAATCTTGTTGATTGTTTTGGGGTTGGTTTTGATGTTGTTTTTTTTGTTTGTTTGTGTGTTTGGTTTTGTTGGTTTGTTTGTTTGTTTCCCTGGGATGCATTATACAGCTTTTCAGGTTAAACAATATTGATTTCTAAACTATTTTCTCTGTCCTAATAGTGTCTCAGAGTTTTGGTAGTTGTGAGAATTTCTCATGTACCTAGAGGAGAGGGGGCTTAGAGATGTTTTTGTTCATAAACACTGCATTAAGTATCTATCCTTCGGCAACGGAATCCTTCTGAACCTGTTATGAAGTTGGGAATAAAGGGTCTGATAGTCTCAACAGTAATTGAAGAGAAATAAGAATCCTCTCTCTATAAATGTATGAATGCTATTGGTTAGGCAAGTGGGGTAAATCAGGGGTGTCCCTTCCATGCTGTATTTGGGGTGGCATGTGCTGGTTTCAGCTGATCAATGCCTTGTCTTACTCTTTGATGGACTTTTTTTATCATGAATTTGTTTTGTCCCAAAGGAATTTGAAAGGAACATATCTTAAGATATATAAGAAAGTCCAATGGGTAATTTATTCTTCTTATACTAAGGAAAACAGATGACATAGGGGTGCCCATTTTCTATGGAAATATTCAAATAACTGTAATTAATACAGTGTTCTATTTTTAGTTGGCAAATTAGGTTATTTATAGGGTAGATTTAGATGACTTTGTAAAGTGATATTTAAGTATATTTTTGCTTATATTTTTAAGCAATATTCTATTTTTGTGCAGTCCTTTGTGTCTACAAGGTTCATGGAACTGTGATGGCAAAATTATTAATATTTGAGATTGAGAGGTCTGGCCATGAAGTTCTTTACTTAGAGAATATTTCTTTCAACCAAATGTTAAATTGTCCATGATTGTTTCCAATTCTCCATATAGATGAAGATAAATCTGGGTGTACCATTCCTATAAGCTCCACCACGAACCAGTCTCTCCACATAGTCATGTTATTTACTGTTCGTTTCCTTAGAATTGTTGCAGTTAACAAGCTACTTAAGTAGAATATCCCTCCAAATACTTATCTTTATTAACATTGAGAGGGTTGGTTTTCCTCACCACTTTCTTTTTTTTCTGATACAGTGTGTGAATTGGGTCTCTGCAACCAGTTGGCAGAGAAAAGGGAGCTCAGGGGGCGATATGTCTGAATCTTGGGGAACTGACACAAATATTATGCAAAAATGGCTTTTAGTGCAAAGGAGCATTCTTTTAATAAAGATAACTTCTTAGCTAGAACTCTCAATCTTAAATATTAATAATTTTACTACCACAGGATATTGTTTATACTGGAACTACAATATGAAATCCAGACTAGAAATGCAAAAAAGCACTGCAATCTTCAAAGTCCCCAAGAACTTCTGCTTCATTATAGATTTCATACCATTTAAGTTATTGATTCATACCATTTCAGTCTAAAACATAGAGAGTGCCACTTTGAACTCCAGTTTGCATTTATACTCCAAAATCAATTCATAGTTCTCCATCCTGGTGAGATGGAGATCCTGCAGCATTCACCTGCTCAGGGGGAGTTGGGGGTGCATTCTGCCCTGAGTATGTCATGTTTATGAGCTACATCTGCCTCTTTCCTCTGAAGGCAAGAGTACTGACTCCCAGTTTCTCCCTGTTTCTTTGCCCTGGCTGTCAGTGCTCATCACACCACTGCCAGACGTTTGTTTCCTCACCTTCACATACATATGACAGATAATTCCCCAAATATATGACTTCTGGTCTTCTACAGTCTGACCTTCTGTTCATAAAGAACAGTCTGAATGTACATATCCATTTTCTGAGTGATAAATTATTGGTGATAAACTCACAGCCTGCACTTGGAGCTGCAGGTCATTTTTCTCTTGCAGCAAAGAAACCATTTTCTCCTCCAGCTCCTTCCGCTTTGCCTCAGACTT